ATATGTTATGCCGAATGTGCGGATATTTTTTTTTTACTTATCATCGTTTGTATATATATATATATATATATATATATATATATATATATATATATATATGTATGTATGTATGTATGTATGTATGTATGACATAATGTTGGGGTGTGTGTGTGCCCATACATATGTATGTACGTTCATATTGGCTCCCCAAATGATACAACATGTCTGTGCATTTAGGCTCTGAGCGAGAATGTCCGACACTCACGTTCTACGTGTGGCTATATTTATGTTAACCTGCCTATATGCACACCCCTCGATTTATAGAAATACCAAGTGCAAAATGCAGTCAAAAAATATGATCCGCTACTTTTGGAGAAGCTCAGGATTTTTATTTTGTAGTTTTTGCTATTTCAGTTTGGAATGGATGAGAATTACCCCCTCGGTTTGTTTTTCTTTGGTACTTTTATCAAACACAAAAATGGGAATGCAATTCTGAGTAAGTTAGGGAATAAAAATTAAAAATAAAGGATGGTTGTTTTGATTTTTATCAACTTGATCCTCGAAGAAAAGTATTGCCAACTCATAGGTTTTGTTTATTGTTTGCCAATGTTTATTATTTATAGGTTGCTTTTAAATTTTTAGAACCATTGGTATTCGAATCAATATCGATGAATTTTATTTTTATTTTAAATTCTTTGCAATGCTTTTTTTTTTTAAAAAAAAAATGTTTTAAAATCGATTCCTTTACTGTTTCGATTAGTTTTATTTTCAGCTCAGTTCTAAAACATGGTTAAGATACGATATGTAACAAATAGCCAAGCGTAGAATCTCGATTTTGGAGAGCTTTTTGTCTGGCGGAAGTGTGGGCAGTAACTTTCGGAGTTCGGCAAAGGCAACATTAAAAGCCTCGACTCGTATCCGTTCGCGTGTCGCATGGGCAGTGCGGTACTTTTGCGTGGCACGTCGCTTTCGTCGTCGTTCCTCACGCGTCAAATTCATGTTTTCTTGATTTCCACTCCGGTTGCCTGTTCTGCTGCCTCGCCCACCGCCGCTGACGCCAGTGCTGACTCCAGAATTGACTCCTAGGGACCCGACAGTTACACCCACAGATCCAGTACAAGACCCACAGTTATTCCGTAACTGTTGCAAGGCCGGATCGTCTTTACTATCAATTATGTCATTGGTGATCATCAGTTCAGTTCCAGTTCCATTCGTTCCGACATTTGGTCCAGTATCGTTCACACCATTCAGCATACCTCCGGCAATACCACCATTGCCAATACCTCCACCGCTACCGCCACCGCCAATACCTATTCCGCCACCATTATGGTGGTAATGTTGGTGCTGTCGTCTCACATCGTAACTGTTGCTGTTTTCAATGGCCGGAAACGGAAGCTTAGTCATGATGGCCAATGAACCACTGTGCATCACGCTGAATCTATTTTTCGCTTTTTCTATAACAATGGTTGACTGATGAGTTTGTTGTTTATAATATTATTAATATATTGTGATATTATTACTTTTTAATGTTTATATGTTGTTGTGAAAACACCTCTATTTTATTTTTTCAGTTTTTTTCGTATATCTTTTGTTGGCCTTTTCGCCGAACATTACTAAAATGTAATGAGTACGAATCTTCTTGTATCAGACAAGGTAAGTGTAGTAGATACTTATAAATTTCGTTAAGTAAATTTGGCGATGTTCAACTGAACATAAAATTTATCAGGATATCCTCACGAATAGATCCTTATGTATCGCTTTGTTTAATTTCTGAAACATTGTCACCAGTGACCTTGTTATTTTATTAGCAGTGAATTTTGTTTGTTATATCGTGAAGATTAGGATTTCCAAAGTTTGTTTTTCTGTCGTAGTTCCAATTTCCTTGGGGTGAGCTCAGCTGGCTGGTTGGGATGCGACATCGATCTGTGAAAGAGATAAAGGTTCATAAGTCAGCAGCAAAATTTGGGTACTAGTCATCAAGATCATCATCATAATTAGAACAATAAATAACAGTACTTGTAATAACATCTTTAATCTACAGGGTGGCGAAACAAGGAATGAAATTGGCGAGCCACGTTCAAATAGCAACCGAGACTGTTTATGCTTGTTTCCTACTAATACAATTGGAAAAGGCATGGATCCATTTTTTTCATGTACTCTGTTACGTGACAAAAATATCTCGTCACTTGCATGATAAAATAAAAGCTGGCTTTTGGACAAAATATGCCCCCATAACTACTTTACCTGCCTAGTTAGAATCAGTGAAAAGATATTACTCCCATTGTAACCCTTGTTAGATTTTAATCATAACAATATTACCAACACTTTGAGATAAACCAAATTAATATTACTGTCATCATCGTGAAAAATATTGGATGCAAAAGAATTGAAAATTATCTTTAAGATCAAAAAATTCTATCAGTATGGACAGGGCACATAATCAACAAAGTTTTACGGAATATGACAACATTAGAACACTTATAGTCAAAATCAGAAAGACATGGCTGAAATTTCTTGGGCATATAATGAAGAAGGAGGGCTTGGTGAATATGACATTCACAGTGCCTACCGAAGGCGAAAAGGGACAGGGAAGGCAACGGGTTACCTTCCTAACGAACTTGTGTGAATGGTGGTTTTCTAAGGGTAGGTTATATGTGACAGAAGGACGAGAGTATGGGACACCTAGTAAGGATCGAACTCAATATTCAATGGTAATTGATCTATCGAGACAAGTTTGCTAACCACGTCGAATTGTCCACGAACTTGTGTGAATATATGGCGGGACGAGGGGTGACAGGGATGGCAAAGAGCTACAAGTGATAGGATGTTGTGGTGTGCCATGATCGCTTTCGTTCTGAAGGGAAGAAGAAGAAAAAGAAGAGGTAGAAGACAATGAGATCTTACATTTTACAGCTCTTTATCACTCCTCTCTCATTTTCTATTCTTTCGCCTTCTCATTCTCCACATTTTATTTGGACTCGTCTTGTTTGTTGAAGGCGGAAGCGCTATTCGTAACCGATGTGTTACTATTTTTTCTGAACCACAGAGTGACAGATTCCGATAGTGTTCTGAAGTCAGAAGATTCGGTTGTTTGTTTTTGTTTGCTAGTTTAAAGGCACATCAATGATAATCACCGGACAGATTGAAAATGAATGCCAGAGGAAAGAGATAAAAATGGTAAAATTCATTAAGGGCTAACCTACCTTCTTCAAGAGGAACACGGTTGAGAAAAAGAATGAAGAAGAAGAAGAAGAAGAAGGAGAGATAAAAAAGAAGGTAAAAAATTCATTAAAATGGCTACACAGGAATCTAGGGAAGAGTAAAAATAAAATCTCACCAGAACAATTACCATAAAAATGTTTATAGAAAAGACACAGGGAAGCTACTTTACGGCGGCGGGAAACTGAAATCTATTTTTAGTCTACGGAATTAATGAGAATTTACTATTTTGAAAAACAATGTTGACTGGGAAGCAAGAAATGGGAAGAATGTTCCACAAGCGAGAATCCGATAGAAGAAGCAGTTAGAATATGTAACCATTTCAACAGTTAAATGACGAGATTTTGCCGCCAACCTGATACTTCATAAAATCTAGCTACCATGGAGAAAAGTTCATCAGAACAATTACCATGAAAGTATTTATAGAAAAAAAAACAATTTGGATTTTATCAAGAATCTCTAAATCATTATGCTACAAATATTCTCATATTTTGTTATATATAAAATTGATTTAAATAGAATTGAAAAAATAAAACTACATTTAGTTAAAATATTTTCAGTTTATTTTTTTTTCCTAGATTGACTCATTTGAAAACGGGTCGTACTAACCTAATTTCAGAAGAACTCAACTTGATCGGAAAATTGATAACTTGATAAGAGGACACATGGCCCAATGAATAAAAGCGTTGATTGGATCTAGTGACTTGCCCCAAAGAGTTGTGGCTACGGTAGTGGTAAACAAAAACTTGGATAGGGAGATAACTGAGACATCCAAAAAAGCATGACATTAGAACAAACTACACCGGTGGCTTCAGTTCGAAATTCCAGTCACCTGAAGACGACCGGAGCGTACAACGGCCGAAAGGTCGTGAACTTAACAATAAAGATGGAGAAAAAAAGTCTGAACAATGTAGATAAGACAAAATTTTTAATTTTGAACCAATTCAGAAAATTATTCTTAGAACTTCTATAATTTTAGGAAAGATGTTTATTTATGGATTTCTAAGGTGATGAATTATGAAGAACTTCAAGCAAATGAATTCTTTAAGTCTGAAAGAAGGCAGTCTTTCATCAGACACTATAGACTGGAATTACAAAATCACAAAGAACTTTGCCAAATAAAAAAAACCGCATCTTTTGAAAACTGTCAACAAAAACAGCAATAACAATTAAATGGGTAACTAGAAAGGAAAATAATGATATAAACGAGACGTTGACTTTTCACACTACCTTATACAAAAGGTTAAGAACGAAACTTCCATCAGTACTAGAAAGAGCGATAACAGTTAGTGGACATGAGAAAACTAATTTCCTGAAAACCTGTTTTAAACAAAGATATTGTTTCATTAACATTATCATATAATTATAATCTATAATATGCTGATTTATATGAACTGGAGTTTTCATCTTAACTAGGAAAGAATGAACATTAAGTTTTGGGCTCCAAAATTTAACTACGATTATTTTACTGGAAAATCTCATTATGGATATATGAATTGGTTGACAGTTTACCTGGCATTCATGGATTCCCTGTCAGGCAAGGAAATTCGTTGATTGATTCTTTTTACCGCTAATCAACCCATTGCAGTTTATTTAAAACCAGAAAATATTTCACATTTTTTTTAGATAATAATGGTTTAGTGATACTTACTAATTAACCCATAGCTGGGGGAGAAGAGGTGGATTCATACGTTTCCCAATTGCATTTGTGCTTAAGTGGATATAACGAACCCAACTGAAATTGGAACTTGGCTTTCCGGTTAACAATTCTGTGCCATTATTCATGACACCGCTTGCTCAAGCTGACAGCACCTGGTATTTCCAAGTGGTCACCCATCTGCTGACCAGGCTCGAGGTTGCTTAACTTCGGTGATCGTACGCGAACCGGTGTTTCAACGTGATATGGGCGTAAGCCGTGTAGTTCGTGCATTCAACATTATTATTAATAAAATTGTAAGCATTAACTAATGCGAGTTATCTTTTTGGCATCGACAGCAGAAAGAGAACACTTTATTCTAGTTGAGTCGATTAAATAAAGATTTCAATTCGAAATTCCTGGAACATTACTGAATCCAATTCAACGACCGAAAAACTGGAGATACTTAAATCAAGGGAGTACAAAAAATTAAATCTAGGAAGTTAATACATTAACTATCTTGGTAGTTAACGTTGGACTGCTAGGTAAGCTTGGCATATTTGCGAAAGATACTAGAATAATCTAGAATATACTGTTAGCAAACTGCCTGTACGTGAATAGATAATGTATTCAGTAATTACATAATAACAGAAAGGGGTCTAAAACAAGGTTGCGTCTTCTCACCGGACTTATTGAAGCGGTTCTGAGAGAATTAGAAGTTCTACTAGGATTCAATATTGGCGGCCACAATCTTAACAACGTAAGATATGCAGATGACACAGTATTGATAGTAGACACAGAAGGAAAACTACAAGAGATCCTACCAAATGTAGTTAAGGAAAGCAAGAAGAAAGGACTAAGCAACAATTGTAAGAAGACAGAATGTAAGGTTGTCAGCAAAAGGAACAGCCCAACATGTAAATTACAAATTGTAGATACAAAAATCGAGTACAAAAATTCAAATATCTAGGAAGTATTTTAATAGAGGCGAAAAATTCAACACCGAAATCCGAAAGTGAACTGGGATAGCGAAAAAGCTGAACAAAGTATTAAGAAACAAAGAAAAGTGTACTGAGCTGTTATGACATATCGGTCCTCCAATATGGGAGTGAATGCGAGATCATCTCAGCACAGATGAAGAAGCGACTTGAGGCAGCAGAAATGTATTTCTACAGAAGGAAGCTGAGAATATCATGGACTGAACATGTGAGCAACAATTTTAGAGAAAATGGAAACAAGACGGGCACTTATACTTAACACCAGAAAGAGGCACTTGAAATTTCTAAGGTATATAATGAGGAAAGTGGGCTTAGAAAATTTGACATTCACATGACATATTAAAGGCAAGAGTGACAAGGAAAACAATGCACAACCTACCTAACGAGCTTGTGTAAATGGTTGATAGAATAAGGACAGATAGTAAAAAAGACAAAATTTACTAAGTGTTACAAAGAATTGGAAATTGCGGAGAGTCGGAACCGCCCACGTCCTGAAAGGACAAGGAACATAGAAGAAGAAAAACTAAAGTCACTAGTTGGAATAATAGTTAAGTAAAAAGTGATCTCACAAAACCAGGACAAAGGAGGTGACTTTTTAGTCAGCTGTGGGGAAACTCAATCCACTACAAGCCTTCAGAAAAGCGTTATCGGTTCCATATCCATTGAAACCATAGCCTTGTCTCACGCTCAAGTCATAGAACTTAAGCTATTGGCTGCAAATCAAATGATCCACGAAAGCAAGGGTAGGCAGAAAGACTAACGGCCGGGCAGACAGACTGGCGAAGTGGCCCCAGGTGCTAGTGGGAAAATTAAATTGTTTTTCTTTTTCTTAGACGCTGGGATCGTTGCAAATTGAAGAGCATTAGTTGGCCTGGTCTGAAATTATCCGTTTGTCTCCATTGCAACGTTCTCAGACTGTAATCCACGCTTCTTTGGCAATAATCGAACGGCTATGATTGAACGCATACAACAAGAAGTAAGTTACAACAAGGTATGATAATAGTTATCATCATCAACAACAAGTCAAGTAGTTACCCTTTTTTTTTCTTTCCAAGATTATCCAGCGGGTGACTGAAACCGCGGAAATTAGCTTATACTATATATGCTATGCTTTTCATAGATATACTTAAGAGATAAACGCCATTGACTAATAAAACGGAATGAGTTTATAATAATATACAGTAATGATAGTTATGCGATGAGAGCGCAGATACATTTTTTAATATAGATCTTAGCAACCTTAACATACGATATTTTCTTTTCTTATTAAGTTAAGAACGTTCAACTATGCAATTAAATGAAACTCTATAAAGTTTTCTCTTTTGTATTTTCGAATTTGGGGCTAATTTTTTTTAATCATTTCACCCCAAGCAATAAAGCCACTTAGACGCAAGGGGTTATTCTGTGTGAAAGAATATGAGAAAAAGAAAAACATTAAGAAGAGAGAACAATTAAAGAACAAGAATTAAGAAGACAGACAGTAAGGACTGACATTGCATTTTTAAGCTCGGTAAATATTATTAAATAAAATAAACTGTTTCTAATGTTGGTCGTGATTAAAAAGCACTGAAACTGCATGAAAATGGACCACTGTAAACAAGTACTGGAATTATCGGAAAATTGATAATTCTAATATTTTATTATATTTTATAAAAAATAAAATCTGGCTTTAAATATTTATCATTCACCTAGACTAAACTTACGTTTTTAATAAGGAGATAATTCTTTGTCAACATAAAAAAATCACTACGGCAGTAGCGGTTACAAAAAAAAAAAAATCTTTTATTTTGTGTTAGCTTGCTTCGCTTACATTTTTATTTGTAATCATTTAAAAAGCAGAATTCTTTGTTATATCGCGCTTATTATAGATAATTTATGTAGATAAAAATCGGAGGTTACTCATACCGAAAATATAACCAATGGAACAGCAAAATTACTTAAATATGGTGATAATTTTTTAACAGTACGATCATGTTAGCTTTCTTTGGATATAGTTATTGTAATGACAAAAATATGCAGGTGTAGGCTTTAAGAAAGCTTTATTCAACTGAGAATACAAGGTTCGCGTAGTGTCCTTTAATAATCCCAGTAAACGGAAATAGCTCTCTCAAAGAAGAGAGTAATAAAACAAGGGGAGACCACTCTTGATTATTCATAACAGTTACTCTTAATGATTTAAAAAGTAGGATTCTTTTTTTCTTATTCTAGATAACTATTGTAGATAAAATTCGGAGATTCTCCATGCAGGAAATATAACCAATGGAACTGAAAAACTGCTACAATATTGTCTTGATCTTTTGATGGCATAGGCCATAGGTGTAATGGCAGTTGCTCGGAATGAGAAATTGGTGTGCTGAGTCCGCGTTTCAGCTGGTTTCGGTACATTCACTTTCAGACAAATATACTGGGAAAGCTACGAATCTATCTCTCCTTGCTCCCCTGTTATCTGTTAAATAGCAGTGCATACTGAGATCTCTAGCCATCATTCACAACCATTCTAGAAGAACAACATCTCTGAATTCAAAACTGAATGTATCCATGGCGCAGCGCATACTGTACAGCCGTCGACAAGGTCATGGAATTCGCAATGACTATAATCTTGACTGCCGTCGATGTGTTATTATGGGTAATGTTAGCTTTTGTTTTCTTTTAATGATTTAAAAAGCAGTATTATTCCTCAGATGTAACGATAGACTTAATTTTATAGATAAAATGTAGATTACTCGGGATTAAAATATAACCAATTCAATTGCAAAACTGTTTCAATATTGTTGTCATTTTTTTGCCTCATAGGTCTGTAATGAGAAATGTACGCGGGTTTAGGCTTTAAGAAAGCTTTATTCAACTGAGAGGAGAGTAATGAAACAAGGGGAGACTACTCAAGTAAGAGGTGGTTCCACTCTCCTCAAAACCTCCAATCTCTCGATTAGAGGCCTTGCTGCCGATTGTAGTTTATCGTCATACCCAGGACTATTTGAAACTCTGATATTGTTTTTAAATTTTTTCACCCCAAGCAAGGCGATAATGCCACTAAGACTCAATGGTTTTCTGGAAGTGAAAGAGAATCAAAAGACTTCAAAAGACTTCAGAAGGAACCGAAAACCAAATCCTAAACAGGAAACAAGGGAAACGGGTTTGAACCGAGCGATAGTTAAATCTATCTACTATAAAATTTTATATACTTGATAGTTAAACTACATCACAAAGAACAGTTATAAATTCTAGGTAATATTTGGAAAGGATTTTAGAATAATCTAGAAAGTGAGAGTAAATCGCCCGCATACAGATAGAACATTAATTCAGTGAATATCAGTCAGTTATGTCCCATGCATGATACATGCTTTCGATACTGACGAGGCATTTTTTACCGCAGTAGGTTGCCATTTCTTTCTGCGGTAGACCAGTTGCCCTTCATGGCTATAGAACTCGGTCTATCCTGCTATTTACCCAGCAGTATAAACGAATGCTTCAGTAAATATACACGAATAGAAATAGGTGTAAGATAAGGATGTGTCTTCTCATTGGACTTATCCAACCTGTACAGTGAGGTGATTCTGCTGGGATTGGTTATTGGAGATCACAATCTTAGCAATATATGATATGCAGATGGCACTGCAGATGACAGCAGACACGGAAAAAAAGCTACAAGGACTCCTATAGAAGGTAATGAAAGAAAGCGAGAAGAAATGATTAAACATCAATGACAAGAAGACAGAATGAATGGTTGTCAGAAAAAGGAACAGCATGACATGCAAATTACAAATTAGAGACACAAAAATCAAGCAAGCACGAAATTTTAAATATATGTGAAATGTTATAGTAGAGGACGATAAATGCGACACCGAAAGCCGAAAACCACTGGGATAGCGACAGACACCTTCTAAAAGCTAATTATTTTATTAAGAAATATGAACCTTTCGTTAGAAACAATGAAAAGATTACTGAATTGTTATATAATATCAGTTCTCTTATATAGAGTACGATGGGTACATTGACGCCATTTTATATTTTTAATTTCGCGCATGCGCGTTGTTCGTTATTGATTTTTTCGACTGTGCAGTATAGTAGGGTCAGTTAGGCACCGTCTGTGAGAAAAAGAATACAATGATGCAATTCACTCCGCCAGAAATTTCGAAACGGCATGCTTTACTGCCTAGCATTCGCACCGGAAGCTCCAATACGAATATTTCAGAGTGTCAGTGTGTCGATCTGAGGATAGTGCAGAGGATTTGGAAAGAGTTGGATGAATCTAATGGTGATTACGAAGGTACGGAAGCT